AAAAAGATTCGTTCATTTTGCTGAACGAGACTCAAAGGTCCGAGTCGGTAAAATGATCCGAACTTCCCATCACTATTGTTTTGAATGGGGAAAAATGCAACGCTCAATATGGCCGCTCTATCGAATGAAGCTCCGCCTTCTGAGCAAAAGAGCCAATCACTAATCGGTAAAGTCAGCGTGCCACTTGCCGTTAGAAGTCCCGGTTGCTATAGAAACAGTCAGCGTTCTGAGACATGCGCTCAGGACTGCGCATGCAAATTGGCTGGTCTAGCCTGAAAAATAAGCTTGCAACGCTCTGACTTATCGGCCGAGTTACATAGATTAAAAATGGGTCAGATTAAACTGTGTGAGATAAAATAAGTGTTTTAAAAAGATGAGACAACAACAAAAGTAGAACTTGTAACGATCGGCCTTATCGGCCGAGTTACATGGATTTAAAATGGGTCAGATTAAACTGTGTGAGATAAAATAAGTGTTTTAAAAAGATGAGACCACAACAAAAGTAGGATGAATAAATAGTGTATTTACATAATGCACAAGGAACTTAAAACAACACAATAAAACTAGAATAACTTAGGCTGTTAAAAGCAGATTGTCCATTTAAATCGTACCCTAAAACAGTCCTTAAGAATCCCAGTGTGTTGAAGTCCCAAGGTAAAAGTGTCCACCGGTGTATATACAATTCCAACGAAAGTGATCATCCAAAATGAGTGAGATACTGGAAAGACAAGTCCATGAACAACTCCTCAATCCAGCGTGGTTGTTTGGTCAATGACCTTGATTGTTTGACATGCTGCTTGCTTTGTACTGGTTTACTTCCTTATTCCTGTCATGTGATTGACCACATGACAGGCAGACCCATGAACATTTTAAAGACATACACACATCAAATAATTAAGAGGATTAAAATGGCCAAGATACCATGTAAAACCATTAAAACTCAAATATATAGATAAAAAACCATCTTAATGTATATTGAGCGGTAAAAACATGTGTCTTTGTGTGGCAGTGTCACAAGCTTTTTATAACGCCATTTGAGCAAAATAAACAACATTTATGACACAGTTGTTGTCAGATTTCTTAGGTGATTTCAAATATGAAATTTAATCGCAAGCTTACTAAACAGTTTTGGAGGATTTGATGTTTCCCCATTCAAAGAGATAGGAGTTGCACTTGCATGCCCGAGAGGCGTTTCAAAGATGGCCGCCGAGTGACATGACTTGTCTTAAAGGGACTTTGGTTATGTCTGGACACACTAATCTGTTTTGCTCATTTGCTTCTGAACAACAGAAATACAGCGGTTATCATGGTTACCCATGTAAACAAAGCAGCGCTGTGAATAAAAACTATTTTATTAAGTGTTATACAGAGAAAATTTGAAAAATGTTTACGAAACCTTACTGAAGAAAGTCAGATTCCCTGTTTAAAGTGGTAAATACGCTCCCACACCTTGCTCTTCTTTCAAGCGGACATTTCTCTGAGCCAGCAGCGAGTGACACAAAGAGAACAAATGCATGCAAGGTCTGACATAGAATGAAATGAATTTGTTTTCCACTCCAAATATCCACTTTTCAAAAGAATGTATTATTTTTAAAACATAACATTAAAATGATTAGGCTACATTTCGACTAGTCGACTACTATTTCCAATGTCGACTAGCGACCTCAGTTCCGTTTAATTGACTAAGCTGAGTCCCAAATGACACACCATACACTATGCTATACAGCGTTTTTGGCCGTTTTCGCAGATATATGTAAATGCAAATCGTTTTGAAAATGTTGTCATACACGTGAAACTTTTTAAAAACGCAAGGGAAATATTTTTCCGTTTTTTGTCGTGTAAACGTAGCCTAAGAGGCAATATGGGGGTATTTTTGGACACAGCTTGAATTTGACACAAATTTTAAAATTTAAATTAGACATGACATGACACAGGTTCGGTGACAAGAAGACTAGTTTGGGCACTTGTAAGCAACACTCCATCTAGTTATACAATAGTTTCAAATGTAAATGTTTTAGTGAATTAGGCCATTTTCACATTCAGCAACATTCCTTCAGTTTCTAACTTAGGAGACACAGGAGACTTTGTTGGTTGGTTTACAAGTGCACATGTAACGGAGGCCAGCGGTAGGTGTTGTGCAAGTAAACCTCACTCCCCTGATCTCAAGAGAAGCACTAGCGACTGACGCTAGTGGCTGCAATCTTTAGCCTCCTTGTTAGTGCATCCGCCTCCCATGCCAGAGACCCACTCGGAACGAGAACGAGGTGTGGCGGTAAGGACCCGGGGGAGAGGGGTTACACACACACACACACTCTTTCTCACTCATCTTGTTCTGTGAGCTTCACACTCTTCCTTTTTAACCTGCCTGAAATATTCATTACTAGTTTTGTGGTTTAAAGCAAGGCTGTAAACCACTGAAATCTTAACTTGGGCAGCATCTTTGTACAACAAAAGTAGGACAGAGAACAACACAAAATTGCAAACTCAAGTTAGACGGCAAGTTTACAATGCATCACATAAGTAAATCAGCTAATTTAATTAATTTAAAGTTTTTGTGTCCTCATGTCTGATCGATGTAGATATACATTTTAAAAAATGGTGCAGAAACGCATATAAACTGCTAACAGAGTGACCTAAAAGAGTGGAAAAGGTTCTAACGTTCAATACAAAGTTAACACATACTTTAAAGGGATAGTTTACTCAATAAGTTAACTATAAGTATTTAATTTGTGGGTGAACCATCCCTTTAAATTAAACCCTTGTGTGAAAAGCTACAGATATGGAAATCAAAAGATAAGAGAACCATCTTGCTCAAATCAATGATATGATATGTTACTTTAAATCCTCTTAATGTTTAAAAAAAAATGTTTTCTTGTTTTCAAAACATCTTTGGTATACAAAGTTTACAAACTTTATTTATTTAATGCTCTTACTGACCGTAGTATCAGACAATCACACCCTCCAGGAAGATGACGGCCACACCTCTACTGTGTAATAATTATTATGCATTTTGGCAGAGGTCAGCCCTTCCCCTCTGTACGTGACTCGCTATCTTTCAGTTCCTGCCACATTCTTCTGGTATTTAAACAAGAGAGGCTGTTTCATACCTTACTGACACAGGTTTCCTCTCCTGGTACTTGTTTCTGGTAGGCTATAATCTTAAAGAACTCAACATGGGACTTAACAGTCAGAGGATTATGAAAATAATCTCCATCCTTTCTGTGGGTATAACCATGTCTGTTATCATGCTGAACTATCCGGGACAAAGGACAAATTGCCCCCATAAGGAAGAGTTGGTCTTCAATAACTTACTAAAGCAAGATCTTGGAGAACTACAAGCTTGTTCTGCTATTATCCAAGGAGACATGGATGGAGTGGACAAGGAGGCTTTCAGGAAGCTCCTGGCCTCTAGAAAAACAAAATCCCTGCTATCAGAGTCATTCTATCTCAACGCCACCAAGGATTGTCCATCCTACATCAGAGATAGAGGGTTTCTGACTGTTTCTCTCAGTAAAGAGGAGAAAGATTTCCCCATTGCTTACTCCATGGTGATCCATGAGAAAATTGAGATGTTTGAAAGGCTCCTGAGAGCCATTTACACTCCTCACAATGTGTACTGTGTTCACGTGGACCAGAAGTCTCCTGAGAGCTTTAAACAAGCAGTAAGAGCCATTGCGTCCTGCCTGACCAACGTGTTTGTGGCCAGCAAACTGGAGAGTGTGATTTATGCCTCCTGGTCTCGAGTTCAAGCGGACATCAACTGCATGCAGGATCTGCTCAAGTCACCTGTCCAGTGGAAGTATCTGCTCAACACATGTGGCACTGATTTCCCCATTAAAACCAATGCAGAAATGGTTCAGTCTCTTAAACACCTGAATGGAAAGAACAGTTTGGAGTCCGAGGACGTAAAGGCCAAACATTGGCGCTGGCAGTTTCATCACAATGTTACGAACGTTGTGACTCGGACAGATGTCAAAAAGTCGCCTCCACCAATACAGAGCCCTATGTTCTCAGGAAATGCTTACTTTGTGGTTTCAAGAGAGTTTGTGGAGCACATCTTCAAAAGCAAAGAGATTCAAAACTTCATGGAATGGGAGAAAGACACGTACAGTCCAGATGAGCACATGTGGGCTACGTTACAGCGGATGCCTTCAGTACCAGGATCTAATCCTTCAAACATCAAGTACCAACAATCGGACATGAACGCGATTGCTCGTCTGGTGAAGTGGAGCTACCATGAAGGAGATCTAAAGAGTGGAGCTCCCTACCCGCCATGCACTGGGACGCACAGACGGGCAGTGTGTGTCTATGGAGCTGGGGACTTGAAATGGATTGTGCAGCAACACCATCTTTTGGCAAACAAGTTTGATCCAGAAGTAGATGATATTGCAATCAAATGTATGGAGGCTTTTTTAAGGTACAAAGCTATTTATGGTCGATCGTTACTAACAGTTCAAAAATCGGACATTGTTTTATGATGCTATCTGTACATTTTTGTAAATAATGTATCATTCTTTGTTATTGATAAGAAATATATTGATATGATATATATTTTATTTATATTGAAATATTTATATTATGTGTTATATATATTTATGTTTTATATAATATAATAAACTTTCTATGCAGGTCATATTTTTTCTTTTAGGATGTTGCAAATTGTTAAATACAATTAATGAATTTTACAAACTATTTGTACACTCCAGAGAAGCTCAATGTTATGCATAACATTTCATATAAAGCAACACATTTGCTAATAACTTTTAAGAAAAATTAACATTAACAGATCATTAGTCGGTCAGTCTACCAACAATAAAAATCATGTTAAAAACAATGAATTTATAGAAAATATTATTTGTCATGAGTTGTCAGTGATATTGTGCTCTGACATATAACAAGTAATTTACATTTATGTAAAAATGTACCACAGAAATGTGTCTATAAATAAAGAAACATTATGGTTTTCCTTAAAATGGAGCATTGCAGGATCTGCTCAAGTCACCCGTCCAGTGGAAGTATCTGCTCAACACCTGTGGCACCGATTTCCCCATTAAAACCAATGCAGAAATGGTTCAGTCTCTTAAACACCTGAATGGAAAGAACAGTTTGGAGTCCGAGGACGTAAAGGCCAAACATTGGCGCTGGCAGTTTCATCACAATGTTACGAACGTTGTGACTCGGACAGATGTCAAAAAGTCGCCTCCACCAATACAGAGCCCTATGTTCTCAGGAAATGCTTACTTTGTGGTTTCAAGAGAGTTTGTGGAGCACATCTTCAAAAGCAAAGAGATTCAAAACTTCATGGAATGGGAGAAAGACACGTACAGTCCAGATGAGCACATGTGGGCTACATTACAGCGGATGCCTTCAGTTCCAGGATCTAATCCTCCAAACATCAAGTATGAACAATCGGACATGAATTCAATTGCTCGTCTGGTGAAGTGGAGCTACCATGAAGGAGATCTAAAGAGTGGGGCTCCCTACCCACCATGCACTGGGATGCACAGACGGGCAATGTGTGTCTATGGAGCTGGGGACTTAAAATGGATTGTACAGCAACACCATCTTTTGGCAAACAAGTTTGATCCAGAAGTAGATGATATTGCAATCAAATGTATGGAGGCTTTTTTAAGGTACAAAGCTATTTATGGTCGATCCTTACTAACAGTTAAAAAAGTTAAAAAATTTTTATGATGTTTTTAATAACAGGTTCAGAAGCTCTCTTTATATTTTTGTAAATAATGCAAATAATGCATTTATTGATATGATATATATTGATGTGTAAATGCATATGTTTAATGTTTATATAATAAACTTTCCATGCAGGTCATATTTTTTATCAGGATGTTGCAAATTGTTAAATAAAATTAATGAATTTTACAAACTATTTGTATACTCCAGAGAAGCTCTCTTTTTGTTATGCATAATATTTCATATAAACCAACAGATTCGCGAATAACTTTTAAGAAAATGAACATTAACAGATCATTAGTCAGTCAGTCTACCGACAATAAGGATCTTGATAAAAGATGGTGGGGGGAATTGAGAGCCACTGGTGTACTGTGTGGTAGGAAATACAGTGTGGCATGTGAACTTCAGTGACTTTACTTAAAGATTGTCATCTCTGAGGCACCATTAGTGACTAACCTAAATACTATAATCACAAAGGAAACAATAAGACAAACACAAACTTAAATATCACTAAGGTACTCATACACTCATAAGGAAATATCCTCTGTTAACAATCTTAGTATTTTACATAGACCAATTTTATAACACTAATATTCTACACTCACAATATCTGCATCCGAATGTACACTACTGATCTGTAATGTTTGTTAATGAGCTATCTATGAAAGCTGTTATGAAGGGCTGCCATTTTTAAAGAAAGGATTCAACAAACCAAAAATTATATGAAATTCTCCTTTCATATGCAATGATAATATAAGCATGAAAGCGAATGTATGCAGTGGGTTATAGAGTAACACATTCTGAAACAAGTTAACGAAACCACTGAAAAATATTCGGTGGAAAACCATTTGATAAAATATCTCCCTGTTCAAACCACAGAACAGCAACATTGTGCACAAAGCTGATGAATAACGAACCAAAACGGTGTATAACTAGGATATTGAAATTCCACTTGTTATTATAGCATGTTAACCACACCATTAAAACCAATGCAGAAATGGTTCAGTCTCTTAAACACCTGAATGGAAAGAACAGTTTGGAGTCCGAGGACGTAAAGGCCAAACATTGGCGCTGGCAGTTTCATCACAATATTACGAACGTTGTGACTCGGACAGATGTCAAAAAGTCGCCTCCACCAATACAGAGCCCTATGTTCTCAGGAAATGCTTACTTTGTGGTTTCAAGAGAGTTTGTGGAGCACATCTTCAAAAGCAAAGAGATTCAAAACTTCATGGAATGGGAGAAAGACACGTACAGTCCAGATGAGCACATGTGGGCTACGTTACAGCGGATGCCTTCAGTACCAGGATCTAATCCTTCAAACATCAAGTACCAACAATCGGACATGAACGCGATTGCTCGTCTAGTGAAGTGGAGCTACCATGAAGGAGATCTAAAGAGTGGAGCTCCCTACCCGCCATGCACTGGGACGCACAGACGGGCAGTGTGTGTCTATGGAGCTGGGGACTTGAAATGGATTGTGCAGCAACACCATCTCTTGGCAAACAAGTTTGATCCAGAAGTAGATGATATTGCAATCAAATGTATGGAGGCTTTTTTAAGGTACAAAGCTATTTATGGTCGATCCTTACTAACAGTTAAAAAATCTGACATTATTTTATGATGTTTTTAATAACAGGTTCAGAAGCTCTCTTTATATTTTTGTAAATAATGCATCAATCTTTTTTATTGATATGATATATATTGATGTGTAAATGCATATGTTTAATGTTTATATAATAAACTTTCCATGCAGGTCATATTTTTTATCAGGATGTTGCAAATTGTTAAATAAAATTAATGAACTATTTGTACACTTCAGAGAAGCTCTCTTTTTGTTATGCATAATATTTCATATAAACCAACAGATTCGCGAATAACTTTTAAGAAAATGAACATTAACAGATCATTAGTCAGTCAGTCTACCGACAATAAGGATCTTGATAAAAGATGGTGGGGGGAATTGAGAGCCACTGGTGTACTGTGTGGTAGGAAATACAGTGTGGCATGTGAACTTCAGTGACTTTACTTAAAGATTGTCATCTCTGAGGCACCATTAGTGACTAACCTAAATACTATAATCACAAAGGAAACAATAAGACAAACACAAACTTAAATATCACTAAGGTACTCATACACTCATAAGGAAATATCCTCTGTTAACAATCTTAGTATTTTACATAGACCAATTTTATAACACTAATATTCTACACTCACAATATCTGCATCCGAATGTACACTACTGATCTGTAATGTTTGTTAATGAGCTATCTATGAAAGCTGTTATGAAGGGCTGCCATTTTTAAAGAAAGGATTCAACAAACCAAAAATTATATGAAATTCTCCTTTCATATGCAATGATAATATAAGCATGAAAGCGAATGTATGCAGTGGGTTATAGAGTAACACATTCTGAAACAAGTTAACGAAACCACTGAAAAATATTCGGTGGAAAACCATTTGATAAAATATCTCCCTGTTCAAACCACAGAACAGCAACATTGTGCACAAAGCTGATGAATAACGAACCAAAACGGTGTATAACTAGGATATTGAAATTCCACTTGTTATTATAGCATGTTAACCACACACTCTTTCACTTTTTCTACTTACAGCCATTCAAAAGTAACTGTGTATTCTGACTGGTTTCTTTTACAAACAGCATATGCATCTATAAATGTTCATTATATAAGAGTACACGTTTTACAAGTGAGCAATTTTTGTTGCGAGATATCCTAAAAGCATGAAATGGACCTGTCTCTTGCCTTTTGTCGCGGCTTGACGCGAAATAAGGTACTGTGCACGTTTTTGGCACCATAAGCCAATCAGTCATCACGTGATTGATCAGCTAATACTGCCCAAGTGATTTAAACTACTAAAGTATTAAAACAGTTGTTATGTGGGGATCTGTGCTAACCGAGCAAACACAATTGAGATGAATGGAAACGTTAACCTCAGTGTGCTTAAATACAAAGCTTGTTTGTTAAGCTGATATTGTGGTGCCCTCTACTGGAGACTAATTTAAATAGACTCTGACTCTAGTGTTGCACTCTACTAGAATAGGGGAACCATTTACTAAGGATCTGTTTGATTATTTCATGATATGCTATTTTTTAAGATAACTTGTGACAGATTGGTAAATCGTTAGCATACTTAATCATTTGTGAACGTAGTCATGTTTTGTAAATGATTAATCATCATCTAATCACTTGTAAATGATTTATAACTCAATCTACAAAACAGATAAAAATATTAACAAATCACTTATGAATCATGTATGAACACAGTTGTTTTGTAAACGATTAGTTCATCATTAACTAATCACTTATAAACGCCTTACAACTGAACGTTATTATAAAGTGTTACCTAACTTTGTGAGAGGAACAGCCTGAAAGTTAAGCAGTTATTCACTGAAAGTAGTGCTGTCTACCGTTGTTACCTTCAATAACTTTCGCAGAAATCCTTGGTAATTAGGGTTCCCTCCATGGGTGAATGGTCCCTGCCTTGCCTACTGTATGCACCTACCTTAGTTACATCTCTACGGTAAATGACCTTACTGACACAGTAGCAGTAGTTTCTTGCAGGGCAGGTTTTATTAACCTTAAAGAACTGAAAATGGGATTTTTCAAACCTAGAATTCTTAAGACAACTGCTATTCTTTCACTGGGTACAACACTGTCCATATTCCTGCTGAACTATCCAAGGAAGAACTGCCCTTCGAAACTGGAATCGAATCACTTACTAAAGCAGGATGTTGGAGAACTACAGGCTTGTTCTGCTATTATCCAAGAAGACATGGATGGAGTGGACAAATACATTTTCAGGAAGCTCCTGGGGGAAAATCCCTGCTATCAAGAGTCATTTTATCTCAATGCCACCAAGGATTGTCCATCCTAAATCAGAGATAGAGGGTTTCTGACTGTTCTGACTCAGTAAAGCGGACAAAGATTTCCCCATTGTTTACTCCATGGTGATCCATGAGAAAATTGAGATGTTTGAAAGGCTCCTGAGAGCCATTTACACTCCTCACAATGTGTACTGTGTACTCCTGAGATCTTTAAACAAGCAGTAAGAGCCATTGTGTCCTGCCTGACCAACGTTGTTTGTGGCCAGCAAACTGGAGAGTGTGATTTACGCCTCCTGGTCTCGAGTTCAAGCGGACATCAACTGCATGCAGGATCTGCTCAAGTCACCTGTCCAGTGGAAGTATCTGCTCAACACATGTGGCGCTGATTTCCCCATTAAAACCAATGCAGAAATGGTTCAGTTTCTAAAACACCTGAACGGAAAGAACAGTTTGGAGTCCGAGGCCATAGAGGGCAAAAAGTGACGCTGGCAGTATCATCACAATGTTACAAACACTGTGATTCCTGTGGTGCTGATTTCCCCATTAAAACCAATGCAGAAATGGTTCAGTTTCTAAAACACCTGAACGGAAAGAACAGTTTGGAGTCCGAGGCCATAGAGGGCAAAAAGTGACGCTGGCAGTATCATCACAATGTTACAAACACTGTGATTCGGACTAATGTTAAAAAGTCACCCCCACCAATAAAGACCCCCATGTTCTCAGGAAATGCTTACTTTGTGGTTTCAAGAGAGTTTGTGGAGCACATCTTCAAAAGCAATTGACATTGAAGGAATCTGATGAACTAACCTAAAACACTGTTTTGTTCTAAAGGAGCTCAAGTGTTGATACCGCAATGTAAAAAAAAAAAAAAAAAAAAAAAAAAAAAAAAAAACACTTTCTCATGTCCTGTTCTCTGCAAGGGAAATGACACAACATTGAACTGTTGCAGTGTTGTAGAACATTCACAATGACAATGTGATTTTTGTGTGGAAGTTTACTTGCAAGAACATAACATACAAGAACCCACCCTCCCAAACCATTAATGCAAGTGAACTGGAGAAATGTTACAATTGTGTATGGTGCAATACATTTTTGCTTATTTCCTTAGTCTCATTTGTACATTTCTCCACATTCTTTAATCATACAAGACATTCAGCAGTAAACAATATGTGGCATAACCGTGAGATGTTCAGTGAGCAGATGACAAATAACGCCAGACTTTGGCCCTAAAAATAACATTGCAGTCATAAAAATATATTAATCTTTCTCCTTTGTGGCCTTTTGATATAAATATAGATATTTAAATGTAATGTAGAACATGCATCGACTAGTTCGAAAACGGAGTGCCTTAACTAAGAGCAAGATACAATAGGATCTAGAACATGTTGACAAGATCTACTTAATGAAATGATGCATATAAAAGGTTATTAAAATGTTTAACGCAGAAATCAGATGCCATCTGCCAAGTGCTTGGCACACAAATGCAACAGGGAGAAGAAAAAAAAAAGTCACATAGCGTAACAGGCAGCCGAAGCTTTAAAGGGACAGCTCACCCACGAATAAAAATTCTGTCATTATTTACTCACCCTCACACCATTCCAAATCTGTATGACTCTTGTGTGGAGCACAACATAAGATATTTAGCAGAACGTACAAGCTGCTCTGTTCCTTTTCAATGAAAGTGAATGGGGCCACAACTATCAAAAAGAGCAGCTTGGACATTCTGCTAAATAACTTCTTTTGTGTTCCACAGAAAAAAAGTCATATGGGTTTGGAATGACATAAGAGTGAGTAAACGATGGCAGAATTTTCATTTTGCGGTGAACTATTTCTTTAAAAGGCACTTTTCTGACATCAAGATCTTGCGTTCTCCAGTTAAAAGAAACCCAATACATTCTTTTATTCTTCCAACTTTTCTCTTCAACTCCTCTGACTCACTCTGGCACTGCAGCGGTGGCGATCTCCACCTTCCCACGCATGCCCTGGTCAATCCTAAGTAGAAAAAAACAAAAAAATGTAACAGTGTAAGGGATCAGAATCAAAACCATACCAACACTTCAATTTGATTCAGAAAGAACAGCCGTTTATACACAAATCAATACACAGACAACGTCACAAAAAGGTCTCATGACTTTACACTCAAAGGTTTAGTCTAATCACCAAGACAACTTGTTTAAATGAGGTTAAAAACATAATTATACAAACACAACAAGCAAAAAGATCATTTAAATCAATTAATGTGGAACGTAAGTCAGTTGATTCTGCATTGTTCATTGTACAAACTGGCTGAAAAACATTTTTTGAAGAAAATTTAAGTGAAGCTTGTGCACAACGCAGTTGGTAAGACATTCTAAGTGTTTTATATTATCTGATGTAGACTACACTCTAATGCTCCGTCATGGCCCACTGTGAGGTTTACACTAGGGATGCACCGATACCGATACTGGTATCGGGCCCGATACTGAGCTCTTGTACTCGTACTCGTTAAAATGCTCCGATACCAAACGCCGATACCACACAGCATGTGATAAGTGCCATATTCAGACAAAGAAACACCGACAACAGACAGCAGAATGGAGTTATTAGAGATTAAAGATGTCTACGAAGTATATGTATGCACTGAATATAAAACATTCAGTATTAATGCCTGTATAGCTGATTTGTGCCAGCTGGTAAGCAAAGCACGCTGAGTGGATTGAGTGCACGGCGGCGCAGATGCGCAAGCTTGTCGAGTGAATATCCCTTTCTCACAGACATCACTGGAAAGTTTGTAGTTC